CTCCGCATTGACTATGAAATGCCCCCCGGCATCTTTACATTTACGGACCTGCGTAAGACGTGATGATGTCAGCAGTCCTTAAACCACTGGAGCTCAGGGGAGAATAAACAGGGAATGGTCTAGCAGCCTAGAGGTGGGTAATACGTAGGCCTCATTCACACTGACACGTACGCGCGTATTGCACCATATGCAAATGAATGGCTCCATACACATAGCTGCCTATGGAGCCATATATTTGCGTAGCGTATAAATTTGCAAAATAGAATGGAACCGAGATGTGTCCGGGCAGCGTATTTCTGCGTATTTTACGCGCATAAACAAGCGTTTGTGCGCGCGTATATGCACGTACGTGCATACAGTTCATTACAATTTCTATTTTGAATGATGCATTCTGGGATTGCATATAGTGCACGCATATACGTGCGTATATGCATATATATATATACGTGCGTACATATGCGCATGTACGCGTATATACGCAATATACAATTTTGCTCTTGCATTGTGTGTGAATGAGGCCGTAAAGTAGAACTCCAGGGAAATGTGTTTTTATCCCTTGAAGTGGGGCTACCCCCTGCACTTGAAGGGTTATGTGCTCGTTTAGGTCTGGGGAGGAAAATAATAAAGTTATACCCACCTTAACATCAGTCAGCCGGCTCGATGCTGATTGGCTGGAAAGCTGGCTTTCCAGCCAGTCATCATGGAGCCGGCTTCCCGGCCAATCAGGAAGCCGGGAGGCGAGTCATTACTCACCGCCTGGCTTCCTGATTGGCCAGGAAGCCGGCTCGATGCTGATTGGCTGGGAAGCAGGTTTCCCGGCCAAACAACATGGAGCCGGCTTCCTGGGCAATCAGGAAGCCAGGCGGCATGTCATTACCCACTGCCCGTCTTCCTGATTGGCCGGTAAACCGGCTCGATGCTGATTGGCTGGGAAGCTGGTTTCTCGGCCAATCACAATTAAGCCAGCCAAACAACATGAAGCCAGCTTCCCGGGGAAAAAACGAAGCCAGGCTGAATGTCATTACCTGCCGTCTGGCTTCCTGATTGTTTCCGGAAGCCGGCTCCATGCCAGCGGAAGCACTGATATCGGTACTTGGTATCCGCGAGTACTGAGAGCAAAATATCAATACTCGTACTCGATACCAAAAAATGATATCGGTGCATCACTAGTTATAACAGCTACTAAATAGTTTTTTTGCTGTCTGTCCAGCTGGGGAGATTCCCCTTCACTTCATCTCCCGAAGACACAACAGGATATTGTAAAATATCACCCCAAAGAGAACTAAATTCATCAAATGAAATAGGTATCCCCATTGGAGATCTTCTCTCACCTATTCAGGTGACAAGCAGTGATAAGTCAAGCATTCCTGGGTTAAGATCAGTCGGATGTTTGCCGAACCCCGCCAGAAGTCCGTGTTCACCAAACATCCAAGCGAACTGATCCCAGCGCCACTTGTGTCCTAGCAGTGGGCAAACTGTTTGGCCAGTTCTCCCACCTGATAAACTTTTCTGTGTCCTAGCAACCAATGAGGCTGCCAGGACACCAGTGGCTGGGCGGCACAGCAGGGGCGTCCCGAGGCTGGGTGACACCCGGAGCGGTAACCGAGTGTCACTCCACCGAGACGTCACTGCGCATGCGCGTGACGTCCCCACGCGTGTGCGCGATGACGTCATCGCGCACGCGTGGCAGTATTCTGATACCTGCCGGCGGCCATCTTGGTGATGGACAACAGCAGAGAGAGGAGGGGACAGTCACCTGGCGGGATAAGGTATGCCGCCGGGTCCCCTCCTCTTTTCTGATACTGTCGGGCGTTCGGTCCATAACCGAGCGCCCGACTTTTCAGAGGGGGGTGACACCAAAATGACTATGAGTCATTTTGGTGTCACCCCTCCAATGGTGTCACCCGGGTGCGGGCCGCACCCCCCTTGTGACGCCACTGCGGCACAGTGTCCTTGGTTGCTAGGACACAGGTGGGTGCACCATAAACAATCAATGACTCTGTGGGGTTGCCTTTGACCCAGTAACGGATGACACTGTGTGACCCACACAACGCCATTAATTGCTAGGTCAATAGTGGCTCAGCTACACAGCATTATTGGTTGCTAGAACACATGAAGCTGCATTATGAAAATAACAATGATGCTCTGGGGCCACTAGAGTCATTGGTGACTAGGACACAGATGGCCCCACAACATCATTGATTGCTAGGAAGCTAGTGGCTGGGCCACACAGCATCATTGGCAGTGGCGTTACAATCACCATAGCGACCCAGGTGGCCGCCCAGGGGCACTCGGGGCGCAAGCGATCGTGCAGGAGAAAGAGGCGGACAGAGGATCGGGGCAGACAGGTAAGAGGGCTTGACCGCCCACCTGAGACTCTGCAGAGCCCACCATAGAGAGTCTATGGCTCTGCAGGGTCACCCTCAGGTGGGCTGTTTGGTTTATCAGGTGGGCTTAACTAGAAATCACAGGGCCCCATACAAAACTTTCCTATGGGGCCATGTGATTTCTAGTTATGCCCCTGGTCATTGGTTTCTAGGACACAGGTGGGTGCACCATAACAACCAATGATGCTGTTGGGCCACTTGCATCCTAGCAACCAATGATGCTGTGTGATCAGGATGCTACCGGCTGGGCCACAGTGTTCCATTAGTTGCTAGGACACAGGTGGGTGCACCTGCGTCCTAGCAACCAATGATGCTGGCACACATCGCCACATTAGTTATCAGGACACTAGCAGCTAGACCACACAGTGTTACTGGTTGCTAGGACGCCTGGCGGGCACATTATGACAACCAATGATGCTGTGGTTGCTATGACACTGGCAGCCTCACAGTATCATAAGTTTTTATAGTGCACCCGCCTGCTTCCTAGCTGTTGCTGTGGTTGATGTGTGGCCCACCCTCCAGCATTCGATGATACTGTACGGGCCACATAGCGTCATTGGTTGCTAGGACACAGACGAAGGTTCGGCGGGTGGGAATACAGGCCAAATGGTTGGCCAATTCATAGAATTGCCAACAACTTGGTTGTGGGACGAACTCATGGTCGACACAAATCCAAACCTCATCCCTAGTGACAAGTCAAAATTATTGGACTTCCCCTCACTTCTGTCTCAGTGAGAATAGTTACTAGGACAAAGGGAGGGGTGAATCTCCCCAATTTCTCCTCCTAAAACCCACTCTTCTTCAACTCTAAACTACCAAAATATTTACTTGAATGTTTGGTCATAAGACACAATGGGTCCTTATTTCTCTCTCTTCTGTGCTGCAAAGTGGGAGGGTTATCTGCCTGATGACATGGACATTTCCCATACAGCAGGGACCTGAACACTTCAGCAGACATCCCAACTCTCCCGGACGCTCCGGGAATCTCCCGCTATTGGATACCGGCTCCCGGCCGCCCGGGAGAGAAACACTTCCTCCCGGAAAGGTTTAATCTGCTCGATCTAGCAGATTAAACCTTTCGCTATGATCATTTTTATTTTCTGACATCGGGAGCCGCGGCCCGACCGTCAGTCAGAAAAGAAAAAATGAATTTTTCTATCAGGTCCTCTTCTGGTGATTGAAAGCAGCAGAGGGCGGGTGCAATAGCTAGTTTGCTGTGGTTTCCCCAGGGGTGCCTCGAAATTCTCCTGATGTGAAGAAGGTGCCTTTGATGTGAAGAGGGCTCCGGATGTGAAGGAGGTAGGAGTTCTGATGTAAAGCAGAGCTTGTGATGTAAAGGACGGGCTCTGATGTGAAAGAGGGGGCCTCTGATATGAAAGGGGGGCACCTGTTGTGAAAGGGTACTCTGATGTGAAAGTGGGGGCCTCTGATGTGAAGGAGGGATTTCA